ATAAAACTAACTACTTTCCTTTTCTTTTCTTTCCCTAATTATCTTTTTCTTTAATTTTTTCCTAATTTTATTTTATTTTTCTATCACTTGATCCACAAAAATAATTTGTGGTCAAATTGAGACTTTTTGGCACACTTTTTGTGCCAAAAATTAAAGGTAATGTTTTCTGTCACAAATTTTTTATTTTTTTTTTGTGCCAAGAAATAATTGTTCACGCACTTGTGGCCACGACCTCGCCACAAAAAATATTTTGGGCGGCAAATAATTCTTTACCACAAAATATGTGATTTTCACCACAAAATATTACATAATTTAAGTAGGGGCAATTTTAAAATTTTATGAACATAAATACAAAAAAGTAAAAATTTAGAAGTGTAAAATGCAATAACAAATAATTTCAATGGGGACGGATGCCTCCACTGAACCCACTGTAGATCCGTGCCTCAATGCAATGCAATGACCCCAATCACAACAGATTAATATAAACATCAACAATGTAATGAAATGAAATGGTTGTAGAAATTTATGGTCTACAAGTCGTGCTAATAGCAAATTTACGATCTATTTGAAGAATAAAGGAATGTAATAAGCTATTTATTTTTTATTAAAAGAAATGAACAAAGATTTTCACATTTTATTATGTATGCATTTGGTAAAGTTATTATATTTGATCAATAAGTTGTTCCCATATATGTATGTGATTTTCTTTGTATTTCTTTATGCATAATTATTTCATTAATTTACTGTAAAATATTTGTAGAGCACGTCTTCCTATATTGTAATATTTTTTTCTATAAATAGATTGATAATGGATTCTCACCTCAGTTGAGGAAGACATTGTGAAAGTTAACGTGGGATGCGGAAACTATTAGTTGATTTTATTGTGATTAACTCTTTTAATGACCTACATCAGATTATTAGGTCAAATTGCCTAATTTTTACGATTGATTAAATTACCTAAGTAATATGATCAATTAAACATCCATAATCACAAAGATAATTAAATACTAAAATGAAACCAAGTAGAGTTAAAGATATTGCACCAGGAATTTTAGCAAGGAAACCCCAATTAGTATAATAGACCAATTGTTGTGGGAAAAACTTCGTAGATTGTGTAGTCCAAAGTAAACCAATCCATTATGTTTGAAATAAAGTACGTACAAAGGACTTTGACTTAGGCTTACACCCTATCATTCTATCAAACACCAATCGTTGACAATCTTCTATCTTTGCGACATCTCGTCCAACAACTCTTGACCTCAAGCTTACTCTTGATCTCTACAGAAGGATTGCTGGTAGATCAAATAACATTTTTCGAATGCTTTGATCCTTTCAAAGTGTGATCGCTTCACCCCTTTCTTCAAGATCTGAACTTCGATATAGAAGAATTAAATCTGCTCTTTCGGAATCTCTGAATCTTTAATTAAGCTCTAATTCTAATGAGATAGAGAACAACACTATTGAATCACTCATGAATATGTGTATGCTCTCAAAAATAAATTTAAAAAAATCAGATTTGATTTTCTGAAGAATCTCTCTCAAAATAATCAATTTATGTTCCTAAAGTCATACCTCAATAATGAATGAAAGAGACATCATATAGAAGTTTGGAAGACCTAAGCATACTTGTAAAACAAGTGAAATTCGTGCATAGGTTCTTAGAAGGAAGTTTGGACCAAAAAGGAATAAAAACGGATAAGGAAACTGAAGTTTCTAAACAGATCAGCAAGCCTTGAACCGGTTCAAGATATATTGTTGAATCGGTTCAAGATAGCCAGATAAAATTCGAATAATCCCTTTTGATTCTTGAACCGGTTCAGGATTCTTTGAACCGATTCAAGATGGCCGTCTTGAATTGTTCAAAAATCCTTAGATGTTGAACTTGTTCGTTGAATTCTTGAACCTGTTCCCATAGATGTTTGAACATGCTCCCTTAATTCTTGAATCAGTTCAAGTTGGGCAGAATGTGATTTCTCCCTAAAAACTTCCAAAACTTCCTAAGTGTTCTCACACACTCACAAAAACTTCCTAGAGTATTGTTATCATCATCCCGGAGTGTATTAAACTATGAACATTTGAACTTTTTCAAATCAGCATCCGTTCTTCAATTTTAAATTTTTTAACCAAAAAATTACAACTCGATCGGACATATTTTGATAATGAAATTAGTCAATTACAAAATATATATCTTACAAACATTACCAAAACTGTGTTAATTGTGCGTACATTTACATGGTATCATAGCCGATCATCGCCAATCCTCAAAGTTTCTTTCTTAATTCATTTCTCTTTGGTTAAATTTTTTCTTTTTCTTTTTTAGTTCTCTAATGGCCGAAACACAAATTGATTTAAGCAGTTCGTCTGAAAATAACGAACAACAAGAATCAATATGATCTTTTTTTTTTTATATTCATCAGTTGGATAGTCTAACCAAATTATTGAGTATGCTTTCTTTAGGTAGCATCAATTGTAATGTTTATCTAGCAAGTATTTCCCTCACATTTCTCTCCAATTCAGTATGGAATATTGATATAGGAGCAATTAATCACACGTGTTCTGCTTTATCTTTATTTTCCTCGATCTTATAAATCTTGTCCAACTCCATCTTTTGTTCAATTTCAGGATGGATCAAATGCCCCTATTACGCACGTTGAAACTGTTCATCTTTCATCCATTAAGCTTGAGAACGTTTTATTTATCCCATATATCATTCAAATTTAAGCTTTTATCTGTGACTTTATCTAGGACGTTTGGACATTGTACAGTTCACGAAGAGATACTACTTTCAAGCAACTTCAATAATGGGCATCATAAAACCACCCTTCATTGATCTTTGGCATGCATTAGCAGCTTGGTCACTTATCTTATTGTACTCCAATAATTATATTAAGGATGTTTCATAGACATCTTGTTCAAAAATAAAGTTCATAAAATTTGTCTACAAGAAAAACAAGGGTGTTTGTCTTACCATTCTAATTATATCATTACTAGCTAGTAGACCTTTTGCTTTAATTCATTGTGACATATGGGGTCTTTTTTCTCTACCATCTTTAAATGGTTGTCGCTATTTTGAACCATTATTGATGATTTGAGTCGATGCAATTGGATTTATCTTATGCAAGTCATGACTAAAACTAAAAATATTTTGCAGTCTTTTTTTTATATGGTTAAGACTTAATTCCACTCTTGCATTTACTCACTTTATTCAGGAAGTTGTGCTAATTTTTTTCACACATACAACAAGTTCGATTGGATAATGGTTCCGAATTTATTTCTAATGATACGCAAAATATTGACATCATTCATCAAAGTATTTGAGTTTTCGAAAAAAAAAAGAAGAAGAAGAAGAAGAAGAAGAAGAAGAAGAAGAAGAAAGAGGAGGAGGAGGAATCTTAAAGCATAACTATCGTCACCTTCTTGAGGTTGTTCACACTCTTCATTTTCAAGAACACTTGCCTTTAAAATTTTGGGTTGAGTGCCACACAACAACATATCTTATCAAAAAAATGCTAACCCCTCTTTTATCTTGAAATTTCATATGAAAATTTATTGAACTCATAATCGGACTTTTCTCATTTGCATGTGTTTAGTAATTTATGTTTGTCTCATAATCATAATATTATATATAAATTTACCCCACGTGCCAAACCCGGTATTTTTATTGGTTACCCTTAAGCTCAAAGGGTGATTGAATTTTTTACATTGCGACTAAAAAACTATTTTTGTTTTTCTTAATGTTATATTTCTTGAAGGAAAATTTGTCTTGATTTGTCTAGATCTATACCATCACCATCCAATGTCAATCCTTTATCTTTAAGTGATAGCCCAAGTTTTGATTATCCAATTGGTTCTTCTTCTCTCATTGTACCATCTATGGTTGATATAAATGTTGTTCAACAAAGTAATCCAACAATAGAACCTACTGTTGGTCAAAGTTTTTTTAATGATTCTGAAGCAGCTAGTTTAGAACCAAATCTCATCTTTTCTTCTACTGGTACAATGTCAATTGGCCGTCTTAGTCCCAATTAGGAACCACCACCTTTCATGGCCGATTACCACTGCTCTATCGCCACTCATTAAATGTCTACCTTCTTCATCCGATTCCAAGTTGGCATGTACACTGGTACCTTGCATTCTCCATCAATCAATATATATATATATATATATATATATATATATATATATATATATAGTCCTAACTTTTAGTTGCACACAGAGAGGGTTTCTTTCTATAATTTGTTCAATAAATGTGCCTAAAACTTTCTCCCAGAGTATGAAGTCACCATAGAAGTGGGAGACCATGGAAAAGAAATAAAAACTCTTAGAAAAACATAATACTTCCATCTCATCTTTTCCACCCAACGAAAAACTAATTGGTTGCAAATAGGTGTATGTTGGAAATCTTATCTTTAAGTTGACTCAACGATTATGGCAGATTTATTAGGTCTTCAATATAGGCTAATTTTTAGGGATTTTATTTTTATTCTGATTTGATTTAATTTAATTTTATTCTTTTTATTTTGATTTTATTTTATTCTTTTTTCCATATTTGTAATTTTTTGCTTGTATATAATGATAGTCAGGCTCTCAAATTGAGTACGTCAATTTTACCAAGTTACTTTTTGGTATCAGAGCCTCAAACATACGCCTCCCCCATCTCTCTCTCTTTCACTGCCTCTTTTAATATCTCTCTCTACTCGTTACAGCCCCTTCCCTATTTTTTTTTTCACAAACCTTCTATCTTTTTCAGGTTGCTGTTGCGACAGTCCTAGGGGGAGTCAATCTCCTCTAGGTTCGACCCCTGTAGGGGTATTCCCTTAGTCTTTTTCATGCACTAAGGGTCAGAGACGTGTTTGTAATTTTTTGGGGCTGCCGGGATATTCGGCAGCATTTTCGGATCAGACCGCCGTGTCTCCGGCTTCTTGATTTGATCAAAATCAGGTCTATTCCTCCTTTATTTGGAATTATTGGTAATCTGTTGAATTGATCTATTTAATATTATGCCTGAATCAAGTAATAATAAAGAAACTCTCTTTTCGGTGCAACACACATTGGCTCAACGCGTTACTAGTGTGTTGTTGAATGGCCGTAATTTTGCATCATGGGCTCGTTCCCTCTGCCTCTATGTTGGTGGAAAAGGCAAATCAGGATGGATTTTGGGTACTGAAAATAGGCCAGATATTAAAGATCCTAAATATGCTCAGTGGGATATAGACAATTGCACCATTTTAGGATGGATGTTTAATTCTATAGAGGAACGCATTTATAATCTATTCATGTTTTATGACTCTGTTAATGACTTGTGGACTGCTTTGAATCAAATGTATGTTCATTCTAGGAATGATGCTCGTATTTTTGAATTATATCAAGATATTGCTAAGGCCTCGCAGGAAGGTCTGAATTTGTCTGTAACTGATTATTTTGGGTATTTGAGATCTCGTTGGGAGGAACTAGCTTAATATGAGCCTCTCAGTGAATTTCCTTCTAAGGCAGCCTCTCTTCTTGTCAAACGTCTTGATCGTCAGCATACCTATCAGTTTTTTATGGGATTACGCCCAGAATTTGAACCACTAAAGTCTCAAATCTTGAATGCATCACCAATGCCATCCCTGTTGGAAGCCTTTGCTACTGTTGATGGTGAAGCACGCAAGCACCGTTTAATTCAGCCATCAATTGTCCCTGTACCAGTGTCTGAGCCTGTTGGGGATAGTATAGCTTTTGCAGCCAACTTTGGATCACGAGCTTCTGGAGGTCAGATTATTTGTCACCATTGTGGAGGGGTTGGACATGTTAAGGCTCGTTGCTTCAAACTTCATCCTGAACTGAAGCAAAAATTTTCTAGGAACCGTTTATCTGGAACTGGTTCTTCTCGTATTGCGGCTTTTGCAGAAACTCCTGTTACTACTGGTGGATCTACTGTATTTCCTAGACTGAGCCAACTTCAGTCTCAGATTGGGCATATCCAAGACCAGCTTGGCTCCCTTGCTTCTAGAGTTAGTGCTTCTTCAACTGCTCCCACTACAACTATTGCTATAGGTACTCCTACTGCATTTCATGTTAAGGCCAAGCAACCCACTTGGGTTCTGGATTCTGGGGCCAATGATCACATGACTGGTGAGTTATCAGTTTTTTCTTCTAATGTCATACCTGTTACCTAATCTGTATATCTTGTGGATGGCTCTACATCTTATATTCACAGTAAGGGTGATGTTTGTCTGTCCCTGATATTACTTTTTCATCTGTCCTTCATGTACCTAAATTTACCTTTAACCTTTTATCTGTTAGCCGGCTTGCAAAAAACCTCCAATGTGCAGTTATATTCTTACCAGATCACTATTTATTACAGGACCTTTGTTCGAAGAGAATTTTTGGCAGGGGTTATGAGCATGATGGGCTTTACTACTTTGGGGAACCACCAGGAACGAGTCTTCAAGCTTCTGTCCTACCTACTTCTAGTGTTTATGATGTTTCTTTTCGCACTTTTAGTCTGTGGCATGGACGTTTGGGGCATGTAAACTTTCAATATCTATGTCTATTGTTTCCTTCGTTAAATAAAGCATGTAAGGACCATAAGTTTCAGTGTGAAGTTTGTGAGCTTTCTAAACATACTAGAACTAGCTATATTTCTCATATGAGTCGTGCTCCTAGTATGTTTGATCTTATTTATTCTGATGTTTGGGGCCCTTCCCCAATTATTGTTTTCTCTGGACATCGATATTATGTGACATTTATTGATGATTATTCTCATTGTACTTGGGTTTATTTATTGAAAAAGAAATCTGATGTGTTTCTTTTATTTACCCAGTTTCTTCAAATGATCAAAACCCAGTATAACACTGTTGTCTGTAATATTCGTTCTGATAATGGACGAGAATATGTTTTGAATGAGTTCCGGTTTGAACTTAATAAAAAGGGAATTTTACATCAACTCACTTGCCCCTATACTCCTGAGCAAAATGGCGTAGCTGAACGCAAAAACCGTCATCTTATGTCTGTGGTCCGATGTCTTCTGAGTGGTATGCATGTGCCTAAATTCTATTGGCACATGGCTGTTCTTACAGCTGCTTTTCTGATTAATCGTACTCCCAATCAAGTTTTAGGTGGTAAGGTACCACTGCAAATTCTCCAGCCTGATTATACATTGTTTCACCTTCTACCTCGTGTTTTTGGCTGTACTTGTTTTGTTCATAACCGTAGTCCTTCTCATCATAAACTTGATGATAAATCTATTAGGTGTATTTTCTTGGGGGATTCTGCTATGTCAAAGGGCTATCGTTGTTATGATCCTGTGACCAAACATATGTATCATTCTCTTGATGTGACATTTCATGAAACTGTTCCTTTTTATAGTACTAATTCTGTGGTACAGGATTCTCTCTCTTGTGATCTGGAGAAGAAGATTTCTCCTATTGCCCGTCCTGTTCCTCTCTTTGAAAATCACACTGTCCTGGAATCTCCTTCTCCATCCATGCAGGGTTCCCCTCCACCTTTGCAGGTCTACTCTCGTCGCCATCGCACTCAACCTCCCCTGCCAGAATCATCTTCAGAACCAGGTCCAGGTAACTCTCCATCTCCTATTGCTCCTACAATTCCTGAGCGTACCTCCCGTTATCCTACCCGTGATCCTCATCCTCCTAATTGGTATGATTTTTCTAGTAGCACTAACCACCCTATTTCCCAGTATGTCTCCTATGATGGTCTTTCAGGTGCATATAAATCCGACCTGGGCAAGATTGGGACTGTTTTTATTCCTCGATCTGTGTCAAAAGCCCTCCAGGATCCCAATTGGGTGTCTGCCGTGACAACATAAATGGATGCTTTACACCATAATAATACATGGGAACTTGTTGCTTTACCTTCTGGGGAGAAAACGGTTGGCTGCAAGTGGGTCTTTAATGTGAAGTACTTAGCCGATGGTTCTATTGATCGGTATAAGGCTCGGTTGGTAGCAAAAGGCCTTACTCAGATTCCGGGCAAAGACTTTAGTGCTACCTTTGCTCCTGTGGCTAAGTTGACGTCTGTGCGACTGCTTGTCTCCTTGTCTGCTGCCCATTCTTAGCCTCTGCATCAGTTAGATGTTAAGAATGCATTTCTTAATGGAGACTTACTTGAGACTATATATATGGATCCACCCCCTGGATTTCAGGCTGAGGGGGAGCATGCTGGGAAAGTCTGTAGGCTACGGAAGTCTCTTTATAGTCTGAAGTAATCTCCTAGAGCTTGGTTTAGTCATTTCAGCAATGTTGTTTTATCCATGGGCTTTGTGCGCTGCCACTCAGACCATACTTGTTTTATTCGACGTCGCTCTGATGGTCGTTGCATTATGTTATTGGTATATGTGGATGATATCATTATCACAGGTGATGATGCTTCAGGGATTGCTCAGGCGAAACTTCATCTTCAAAAGTCCTTTGATGTGAAGGACTTAGGTCCTCTTCGATATTTTCTTGGAATCGAGGTAAGAAAATATGTTTTGGATCTTCTTCAAGATACTAGCATGCTTGGGTGTCGACCTGCTTCCACTCCTATGGACCCCAATCTTAAACTCTCTATTGAGTCAGGGGAATTACTTCCAGATCCATCCGTGTATCAACGTTTAGTAGGTCGTCTTATCTACTTGATTAAGACAAGGCCCGATTTGACATTTGTTGTTAGTGTGATTAGTCAATTCATGCATACCCCTCGCTCAGCTCATATGGATGCAGTCTACCATATTTTGAGGTACCTTAAGTCGTGCCCTGGTCTTGGTCTGTTCTATGCCTTAGGAAATCAGTCTGAACTCTCATGCTTTACTGATGCAGACTATGCTAGATGTAAGACAGATAGACGTTCTACCTCTGGCTTCTGTACTTTCTATGGTAATCATCTCATATCATGGAAGAGTAAGAAGTAGGCTGTTGTTTCTAAATCCTCTGCTGAAGTTGAATACTGAGCTATGGCTCAAGGTACTTGTGAGCTCCTTTGGCTTCAATCAATTTTGGGAGAGTTGGGGTCTTGTACAGAAAGGTTCTTCAAGGCTGTTTTATGACAATAAATCAGCCATTATGCTTGCTTCTGATTCTGTTTTACATGAAAGGTCGAAACATATTGAGGTAGACATTCACTTTATTCGAGAGAAGGTTCGATCGGGTATCATTAATCCTATTTTTGTTCCTTCTTCAGAATAGACTACAGATGTGTTCACAAAGTCTGTTGGGCCTTCTCTTCTCCAGTCTTCCATCGTCAAGCTGGGCTTAGTCAACATATTTGCTCCAGCTTGAGGGGGAGTGTTGGAAATCTTATCTTTAAGTTGACTTAACGATTACGGCAGATTTATTGGATCTTCAATATAGGCTAATTTTTAGGAATTTTATTTTTATTCTCTTTATTTTGATTTATTTTATTTTATTCTCTTTATTTTGATTTGATTTTATTCTCTTTTCCATATTTGTAATTTTTCGCTTGTATATAATGATAGTCAGGCTCTCAAATTGAGTACACCAATTTTACCAAGTTACTTTTGTGTACAACTACCCAACCCGAAGACTTGGATTATCATTATACTTTTGCACCTGTTGCAAAATTAGTAACGGTATGTGCTTTTGTTTCCATTGCCTCCATCAAGTGGTAGCCTCTTCATTAGTTTGACGTTAATAACGCCTTTTTACAAGGTGATCTTGAAGAATAGGTATATTTGGTGTTTTTGCTTGGGTTTGCCCGATAAGGGGTGACGTAGATTTGTAAACTAAAAAATCCATCTATGGTTTAAAGTAAGCATCACGACTCGTGGTTTGCCAAATTTTCGTGTACTAGTCTTGAGCCTGATTTTTCCCAATCAAAGTGTGATTATTCATTGTTCACAAATTACTGATGTAATTTTTTGACTTTTATTTTGGTCTACGTCAAGATAATGATATTATCATGATTTGGCTATTAAGCACATCAAACAATTTCTTGAGGCAAAATTTTTTATTAAAGATTTGGGCAACCTAAAATATTTCCATGCCAATGTGGTCGTTGTTCTTAGAGGGTATTTTTATTTCTTAAAGGAAATGTATGATACTAGTCACAAGTCAGAGGCGTTCATCAACTGATTCTTGGTAGAAGGGAGAGGGTGCGATCTTGTAATAGAGTCTGTTATACTTTACTTTAAGATATTGGATTACTTCGCTGAAAGCGATAGCCAAGGTGATTTTTTCTTAAAAAGGTTTCCATGTTAAAATCCCAGTCATATCTTACTTTATTTTATCTTACTTATTATTATTATTATTATTATTTTATTAAACTTAAAATAAGCAAAAATTGAATAAAGTTTAGGTCAAACAAACAGATGACCGGCCAACTTTTTCTTACTTATTTTAATATTATTGTTTTACTTTATAAATTTCTGTAATCATATTAATTTTTTTTGTTATTGAATTAATATTCTATTGGTGAATTATTTATGTTATTAAATTTGTCCTTATAATATCCATATTGTTTAATTGATGTATTATTGAATTTAATACATCAATTAAAGCAGCGGTAATGGAAAACCCAAATACTTTGGAACACATTGTTAAATCTCCTTCCAGTCATCTGTTTAATTTTCGGTTCCTCTCTCTACTTCCTCTGTGAACCGTAAATTCTTATGATCCATCATTGTTCACTAGAACCACTACCACGTACTCCCTCCAATGATGACTTAAAAGAATAGCTTTAAGATTTAAAGCCCCTTGATTTATCCACTGGATAGAGCAAGTTTTTTGCATTGAAAGTTTGAATCCCATCAGAACAATAAAATTATGAATTGAACACTAAACAGAGCTCACTGACCAAAGGTTTCTGTGGAGGGGGCCAGAGGGCAGAGAAGTGTAAAAGATTAATGGGTAAAAACTGAAAAATTTAGGATTATTTTTCGTAATTTCACTCGAGACATTGACATCAGGACTTCAGCTTTTGATGCTTAGAAGATCTATGAGGATAAATTTATCTTTTTCTTCCTTTTATTTTTCTATTCTAACAGGTGTGTAATGGAAGTCAGAGTAATCTACGCAGTCTAAAGGTATGAACGATGTGTGCAAAGTTCGGAAGAAAAAACAATAGGGACTTTTGAAATTGACGGTGAAAGCTAAAAGTATATTAAGGTAAAATATTTTTAAAAAAATATTTTTATTTTTTATTTTTTTAATGTTTGCTTATCTTAAAATATTTAGGATAAAAAAAAAATATTAAAACTTAGTAAAAATAATTTACTCAACAATTTTTGACAAATTATTTTATACGTCCCAGCATAATGGACTCTACATCAATCTTAACTTAGATCTTTACTAAATATTAAAAAATAAAAATTTTAAAAATATTCTACCTAAAAAGAAAAATATTTTTCAAATAAAATATTTTATATCGAAACAAACTAGCCTATTTAAAATAAAAAATCGATAACAATGACAGATAGATAAAGTCAAGTAAGATGCTCTTTTCTTGGGTAAGCAAGATGGGGATGATATGTTTTTCTTGGGTAAGCAAGGAAAAAAAAAAAAAAAAGTTTGCACAAATACACTGTATTTACACGTGTTTGTGTGTATTATAAGCACGATAATGAACGGTTAAATGTGCACGCATAATAATAAATAGTTGAATGTGCCGGTTGCATGGTGCAATAAAAAAAATAAAAAAAGAATTTTCTCATAAAGAAGATAGAGTTAATTAGGAACTTAGGACAATTCAAATATTTAGTATGAGTAATGATAGGGAAACCGAAAATGAATTCCCGAATTAACATTGAATTTGACATGGTTAGCTATACTAATAACATGTTAAATAATTATTTTTTAAAAACTGTTTAATAGATAAGATGGATAAAAACAGGTCTAATTCGAAACTTATTCGGGAAAATCATTCAGTGAGTTTATCATTTTCCATTTAATATTTATTTATTATTACTCGATCTCCCAGTTCTCATTTGAAAAAGAGAGGCGATATGATCACCTTGCCACTTGTTGTAATTAAAGAAGCCAGGGACATCATTGTCAATATTTGCGTATTTATCCTCCTAATTAATTGAACTTGCTTTCCTTTTTATAATTTTAAAGTTACCATCAAACAAAGAATCTCATCTGATGATTAAAACAATAAATGTATAATATTATTATTTTTTTTTGTAAACCACTATGAATATTTTAACTTATATTGCCTTAACCATGCCGACACATTAATATTGTTTATTTGTAGAGAAAATCTATATTTGATTCTTGGAAGTTTTCTTTAATTTGGTCCAATAACAATTTGCTTGAACCGATGATCATACAATATATATATATACATTTTTCTTGTTTATTTCTTAACCTGATGTTCACATATACAACGTTTATTTCTTGTGATTTTCTATGTGTGTACAAGGACAAAGGTTTGGACAATTTTGATCAGTAAATTGACATTAATTAGGTTAAAAAAAACTAAAGCTTTTGCTTTTTTGTTTTTGGAGGACTGATTCATAACTTGTAGCTATGGTTGTTTCTCTAGGGAAACTAAATACCAACTGAGAAGGCACCCTCATCAAACAAATAAAAAATAAATAAATGTTGATACTTGTTGGTGTCGCCGTTCCATCCAACGGGAACACAACAGATCACTGCTCAGTTCCCGTTCTATCCAACAGGAACACAACACAGATCAATGCTCAGGTTGATTAGGTTCGTTTTACAATCCTGGATGCATGAATCTTTGGATTTGTTAGGTTTAAGTCATTGTTATCTTTTGATTTTGGACTTCTCATATTAAGTTCACATATTTTAAAAATTTTGGAGTCGAAATTCAGGACCCGTAAGAGACTTCAATCATATTTAAAATAAAATAAAAACTAACGTTTGGTGCAATAATCAATTGTTGTTTAGAAATTTTATGGGACTAATGCAGAATTATACTACTAATATATCACAGGTGTAGCATCAATTGAGGAGGAAGAAACACCGGTAGGTGAGTACAATTTTGTCAATGCGAATATTATCCGGCACGCAACCGCGTGATACGACCCACCGGAGCTTTGGATTATTAGGAAAAAAATTCATAAAAAATGTCATTGAGATGGGAGCTGCGCTATTCTATGACGGATGTAGATTAGTTTAGATTTTATGATCTCTATATATTACATTGAAGATTCAATATTGGAACTTTATTATAAACAAAATATTATAAATGTGACCTTTAAAAAAAAAAAAATTTGAAACTACTAATAAATTAACAAAGGCGGCTTTCCATTCCTTCTTTCTATGGTACCATCAATAAGGATGATCTTATCATGTTTTCATAGCGATTAGTGATCGCCTGATTAAATAGATGAAGAGGTGATCTCAGATGAAAGTGTTCAACGTCACATACTCTTATGCACTCGATATCCTCCATATTAGGTCTATTATTATTTTTAATATTTCAGTTTGAAAACGAAATATGAACTTCAAATATATTAAATTGAGAACTTAGAAAGAAAAAAAAAATTATCATTTAAATTTTATCCCCACTCTTGAAATAATTGAACTATACGTTCCTTATTATAATACAAGTGGCCATCAAAACGACCAACCCCAGGTAATAATAATTAAAAAAGTAAATGAATTATATATTTAATTTTTGTTCGAAAATGATGAGTATCTATAACTTATGAAGTCGAAACCATACCGAGCCACTATAGTTTACTTGTAGAGACACAAACTGCTGTAAGCAGACGTATATGTCATACAAATGGCTCAATCTCTGGAACAATTAAAAGCCAGGCACGAAGAATTGAAATCAATCCTCCAAAAGCTGGAGATAAATTTCCAAAATCTTGAGAGAATGGGCGGACAGCTTACTGGGGGCTATATATTTTTCGAAGCTTTCACTTTATCATCAGTTAGCAGACCCCCATTGTCCGAATTCTACGAAAAATGGTGGATGTTCTTCTGTCTGGCCTTATTGGTCTCAATCATTTTCTGGCTCACCATTGCAACCATAATTATTTCTTACCTCCGATTACGATATCATCATGACAGAACCTGGATGAAGCAGCAAGATGTATATCATCAGATGTTCTTGGTTCGCAACGGACACATACAGCCGGAGATGTCAAGTGACTCTAGTTGTACTAACCTGCAGCAGAATTCACCGGGATTGAAACCCAACATTATTATACGATATCAACGATATGCATACCTTTATGTAATTGTTTTTT